TCTCAGGCCATATTCTCATATCTACTTCTGTATTCAGACTGTTGTGATACGTTATTTTGGTTGAAATATAAGAAGAAAATGTGGTCTTCCATAGACATGCAGTTGAAGATGGAGATAGGAATATTTTAATAGTCTATTCAGGTCATTGTGTGTATTCTTTAATATTACACCAATTCTGTGAGTGGTCATTTCTTGGAGGTTAGTTGCAGTGTCGAATCTGAACCTTTTATATTCTGTCTGGTTAAAATCCATTGGACCATCTGGCACTATGAATCTCTTCTCAAATTTGGAAAATATTTGTTCCCTGAGTTACTTAAGTTTTCCAAATATTTCACTATGAAATCTTTTTAATCACATTTTAAATATCACTATCTATCTTGTCCAAAAAAATCTTTACATTTTGGGAAGCTGATGATTGTAGAGAGGATTTAAGTTTTCTAGAATCCTAATCTTCACTTAAAAGCCCAAATTTTATCATTGGCAATGAATACTGTCATTTTCCATGAAGTAATAGGCTTGTTTCATTTATTTTTGACAAAATGCCAAATACCCAAGTCTGAATAACCATAGTTTTTCTGCCATATTTCCAAGAAAAATTGGTGCTCCATAAAAAGACCCTGTGACTTCTCCAGCCTGTAACTTCTGCTTACTATGTTCTGGGTGTCCTTCAGCCTGTTAGTGTACCTCACATTGAAATGCCTCAAGAGAGAACCCAGTGGATTAGCCAGCCATTGTGCAGTATGAAACTGGTGTGGCGCTGAGCATGGCAGCCAGTGCATAAAGGCACAAGTTCTAGCTGTTTATGTGGAGGAGATTTGCAGTCTCGCAAACAGAACACTACTCAGAACGTCCACCAGTGTGAATGAGCAAGGTATTTTTTTCATATGCAGATGCAGATAGAGTGATTATGGTATGAGAAGTTAAAAAATTAATTTGTAATTTGACTTTATTAATATAACCCATTTAATAGTACCTCCACCCAAAAAGCATGTCCTTAAAGTTATAGCCACATTCTGCTACCACTTTCACTTTGTTGGGGGCACTAATAATATTCTGAGGCTACCATCAGACCATGTATTTTAAAAATATTCAACATGGATTGAGTAGTTGTTACTATGAATTTTCTACCAATGCAAACATTCTATGTATTGAATGTATTGCCTTTCACATTAATATTAATAAAAAGACATTGTTAAAGAAGTTTCTTTGGTTGATTCAACAATTTTTCATTGTTTTAATGGGTGTTTTCCTCCTTCACAAGGGAGGGAAATCCTCTAAGGCCTGTGAGTATGATCTTACTTCTAGCACTTTTCTTTGTTAATAAATAATGAGGAGTCACCAGGCACTGTATCTTGCAAGTGCATAGATTTTAAATGTAATGTTTTTTTAAGATTGGCTTTCTCATTTTGGTAAGAACAAAGAAGACTAAGAAATGTATTTCTGCTATTATGAGGGGATAGTAGGTTTAGAAACTTTTCTATTTGAAGGTTCTGGAATTAGTTGTTTATTATGTATGGTGCAGGGTAGAGGTTTGCTACATTAGTGAAAAACATCCCCATGAATGACCACATGCCTCCTTCAAACAAGTTCATTCACTTAGTGAAGTGAAGAGCTGAAGCAGGCTGTTTTCAGAAAAAGTATTGGGTGCCCAAGTTCCCTCTTTCATTTATCCCACAAGAACAGTATCAAGGGGGTTAATGTATTTGGGTTAATGATAAAGAAAACAAAAATAGCGTGCCAGTGGGGAAATGTAACCTGACACAATTAAAAGTGGGACCCAAACTAAAACACAATCCTTTTAGGAAATGGCAGTATTTTATCTCTGTCAAATGGAAGCAATCTAAACTTTAACAAAAATCTTGGCTTCCTTTCTCTTTGTATATCTTGACTTAATATTATAAACTCTTGTATTTCACTGAGCCATACTGTCACAAGTAATTAAGTTATAAATATTACACAGAATAATTTGCAACTCTGCAAATACTTTTAAAACTTTAAGAAATTTACCTTTCTTTGTAATACCAGAATCCTCATAAAGATGGATTATCTCCATTTCCCCCTTAATTTTATGTATCCCAGCAATGCATTGTCCTGGAGTTTTACAGAATGCACGCTACTTCACTGTGTCCTGCCAGACAATAGACAAAGTTTACACTAAAAATGCCCTAGTTTTTCCTTTAGCTTTTTGCACTGATTGGTATAAAGCAAACCCTCAGAGACTATTCTTGCTAAGTATTGTTAATGCTGCAATGCAGATTGGAATCTCAGAAAATCCAGGTATATACTATAAAGATGTGGGTAGCTTATATTGTTAATATCTAAAATCATCTAAAGGCTTGTTTTCTTTGTGTTTTTTTCCAGACCTAACTATCATAATGAATGCTGCATACTAAGAAAACCCAAGAAGGTTATACGTTTGGTTGTCCAATATTCTCGGACTTGATATGAACCAACACATAGTCCTTGTTGTCACTGACAGAACCCCAGTTTGTATGTACATTATTCACATTCCTCTCTGATGTGTTTGGGGGAAAAAAAGACATTTTAGCCTTTTTTAAGGTTATTGACTTAATTTCATGTTATTTGGTTGCATGAAGTTGCCCTTAACCACTAAGGATTATCAAGATTTTTGCACAAGCTCATACAAGTCTAGGATCCTTTATCAAGGCAGTTATGTTCATCAATCTTCTGCCTTTTACTCCACCATCACCAAACACTCAGTTAAATATAAATTAGCATTTTTTTAAAAGGACCACTCAACATAATGCTTAAGGGATTTCTTCTCTGTGACAGAACCCAGGAACCAATTCCTAGATACATAATGTTGGCATATTGAAGGTGAACTTAAAATTGTCCTTCAGGTTTGAGGCCATGTGTAAAGTTGAATCATACTGTAAAATACCTATTCCGTATTAGAAATAGCTAGTTGACAACTTATACTTCTCAAAACTCATGTTGTTACGTACACAAACTCAGTTTCTATATGTGAAGTTAAGTGAGTCTTTTGTGTTACTCCAAGATAAAGGCAATGATTTATTTTCTCCCAATGCCAATACAATTTGAGCTAATCACTCAAGCTGGATACTTTACATTTTAAAGCTGGACTCAAGCAAGCAGTAGCCCTATGGGAAGTAAGACAAAGCATTGACTTTTAAATATAGACTTTTAAACCATTTGTTGTTTTCTTTTGGAACTAGAATTAGAATAGTTAATACTCATCCACAAACCATTATTATGTGTACATTATTGTTGCAATTGTGATAATAGAAAATTTTATTTATTTTTATGCCAACTTATATTGTGAGAACACATTTAGTCAGTTTGGGTTTTATCAATCCTGTTATGCTTGTCCTTGGAACATCTTTCGCGTATTCGAGGTTTGTAGTTGAAAAGTTTACTGTAAAAAAAAATCAAAAACAAAAAAATGTATTGTTTTTACAGAATAAATTTATTGGAATGTGTACTGGGAGTAAGAGTTGAGGTTGTAAACAACTAAGTTAGTGTAATTTGGCTTCATATATGTAATGTGAGGTATTAATGTAATTCATATATTAAAGCAAAAATTGTTAACAGCAAGCTGATAAGAGAATCAAGTGCAGGTGAGGCTTTTTCTTTTTTTTTTTAAACACTCTGGGTTTTAGGGCTTGTGTTTGTTTTTTTTTTAACACTGGGGGGTAGGGAGAGGAACTGGCTACATGACTGCTTGCATATCTATGTTACTTACCAGTTCAGTGGACCCCTAAATTCACACTGGACATTATCCATGCACTGATCTAGATACCATTTTCTTTTAGGTTTTCTTATTTTGGTGACGAGCTAGTAAATAGCATGAAGGAGAAAATGTGAGTAGCTCTGAAAGCTTAGGGCTATTAGTGATGATGCTGGTGATGATGGGAGTGGTGATGATGGCACCTGAGGGCATAAGATCCACTTACCACTCCTGGGCACTGAGGAGGCGGCTGTGTTTTGGGTTTGTTTCTCTCATTTAGCAAATACTGATTTTCCTTTATTATACTTGACTCAAGCTTCCACATGATGAACAGTTCATTTAAAAGACAGTAGGAATGCCAATCCAGTTCTTTGTCCTTACAAGGTACTTTTTAATTTTGAATATTTTAATTTAAAATCAAGGAAATTTAATTAATTCATCAAAAGTCCTCTTCATCACTCACACTAAAACATAAGGAGAACGTAGATGACATTTCGAATTGGAACATATGACTGACAGATTTTTAAAACAGAAAAGCTAAAGACCACAGAACTTTTTCTGAAAAAGAAAATACACAAAATGTTTCAAATTTCATAAGATTTGTCTTCATAAAAGGCTAAAAATAATTTATTAAAAATATATACAGAAACACAATAGAAATATTTCCAGTCACCAGTAAAATAAAGGTAATAATAAAGTTATAGATCCCTTCTTAGCTGTTTAGACTCAATAAAAAATTTCAGTGAAATGGGAAAAAAAATTTTTTTCAGTGAAAGCAGTTTTTGAAACAGCAGTGAATAATTCACTTTCCCTGGGAAAACACTTCAAACAACATTTTTAAATGTTCGGATAATTTGTCTTTTATAATGAGGTTGATCATAAAGCGTATACATCTTATATGCAAAAATATTTCTCCAATCTGTATTTGCTAGTTTGAAATTTTTAATATGCATAGGCCATTTTCACTTTCAAATAGTTTCCTTTTCATGTCATTATTATAGGAACTAAATTGTAACTTTTCACACTTACATTTAATATATGCAAACAGAATATTGAGATAGGTGGTTGTTTATTCACAAATACCTTGAAATGTATCTCTTTAAACAGACTTTCTGAATAACTTCAACTTTCCTTCAAAAAAAGATTTACCCACATAATTCCTATGGTACAGAGTACAGAGCAAGAATTGATGTATTCATAAATGTTCCTGTACGAGAAGAATGGGACCACACATAGGTACCAAGATAGCAAAAGTCAGTCATCTGGAGAGAAAGAACATAAAACAATGTTTTTATTCAACTTTTTCATCTGCCTTTGTTTTTATGAAGAATTCGGGTCTGTAGATACAGCGATAGGCCAGGAGCTGGGGAAGAACTCCATATGCTATGTTTAAGGCTAAAAAAATGATTTTCGCTTCTTCAGGGACTCTGTAGACATAAGCAGTTCTAGCATGAAGAGAAGCACCGATGTGAGAAAACTGAGCCTGTCATGTTTGGAAAAAAAACAAGGGGGTGGGGTAAGCATGAGCTCTGCGTTCAGTTGGACACACATGCGTTCCTAACAGTCCATTCAGACCACACTCCTGTGCCCTCAAAACCAGATTTTCAAACAATCTAGAATCCTCAATATCTCATTGAACTTGGGCCAGTCTTGATATAACCATTCAAATAAAGTAAGCCACCTTTAGCATGTCTTTATCAGGCTAACTGATTTTTAACCCATCTAGTGCCCACCCTGCCCAGCCCCATACCAAACAGTAGTGGCTCAATTTACAAAAGAAAAGTCTGAATAAAATCTGCCTTGTCCTGATTTGCATTCTGGAGATATACTATATAGGAACTCAGCTGTGGCTCACACAATGTGTTCTAGTAAAAATGAAGCAAGTACAGAGATTAGACAGCTGAAATATTTTTAGCATAGCTATTTAAAGAGAAGCTCTGAAAACCTCAGCTTCATTTATATCAATTCTTTCACCTACTCCTTGGAGCAAGAGCTCAAAGCCCTTCATTATGCATTTTGCTTGTTTTTTTACTTGTATATTTGTTTTTCATGCAACTTAAAAAATACTAAGGGTTGTTTTGTAAGATATGGTGGGGGTACGGATTTCTTCGCTCTTTTATAAAATGGCAAATGTACACACAGGCAACTTTTTCACATCAAATTATTGAGACGTCCAGCTTGTCAGCATAAGCTGAATTTACAAAACAGACAGGCAAGCACTTCCCACTTGTACTTAGATACCTGCTTAGAACATACATTCCAGAACGTGCCGATTGGCCTTTTTTGATACTTTTCATAAGCACAGGTGAAAATTGTATTAGAAAAAGGCTTCTGTGAAAGTATTTCCTCAGGATCCTTGTATCATTACAAAATGCAGCCCTGGAGTCTTTACTTCATATCATAACTGAAACTCAAGATATACATGAATAAAGGGTTGGGAATTTAAATGTAGTAAGTGGTGACTTATTAGTTTATCAGGATCAGAGCAAAGAGACAAAAGGTAAAAGGACAGAAATCATGAGAATGAAAATGAAATAACTTGCTTTAAATACGTACAAGTTATCTTACATTTCCTTCCATATGAAATCAGTTTATCCTGCTAAGTGATTAACAGAACAAAAGTGTTACTTAGCACTTGACTTTATGACAAGAAAAGGACAAGTTTTCATAAAGCAGTTATGTATACAGATGGTATCAGCAACAGGCATTTTGACAGATTACATTTTTATAAAATTCCTGATACATCCTGGGGGTGTCTGGTAGTCTTGTTCTTCTCTGGAAATAGGCATTAAATTAGTGTGAGTGGTATGTTGCCAAGGACAAAGGCCAGTACCAAGGCAGGAATCATCTGGTGATCTGTGAGCCACTGAGAGGGCTTTATCCTCAAACACACCACCCCCAGGGCCAATGCCCAAACACAACCCACCGAACGCTAAGCACTTCATCTCTGGCTGTGAAAACAAGAGTTAAGGGCCTTTGAAAGGCTGCCCTGAGGACCTGCTCTTGTGGACATTCTAAGAACCCCCAACAGGAACTTGGCCCCCATCACTATTTTTTTTTCCCAGGGCCAATTTTGAATAAAAATATTTTTCTGAATATATAATCAGACTTTTTCTTCTGGACTAGGTGCCAGATTTGACCCCTGATTTTCAGAAATGTGCATTTGGTATCTATCTTTTCAGACTTACATAAATCTCAAATCAAATTTGGGGAAATGCAAATCACAGTTTAAGAGAATAATATGAGCCGTCATGCCTACTTGCATAAGGAACCTGCTTAAAAAGTCTAATATCATAGGCTCCTTTCCTGCACTGACCAGTGCAGTTAATACCTCATTTTCACAAACAGCAAACTCATGGGAACATTAAAAAATGATCATGTCCTTTAGATTAGATTGTAAGCCCACCGGGCAGGTACTGTGTCTGAATTTTTGTGTGGCACCTCTCACATTGTTAGAGCTCAATAAACGTTCAACAGTAATGGTCTTGTGACTATCAAAATACAAAAAGCTTCTACAAGGGATTTCTCTATTTTTATACCTATTTTAGTAGGCCTTTTGCTTCAGAATTATTTAATAAGGGGCAGAGGTGATCGAACCCAGGTCTTCTGCAGGCAGATCCTTTACCATCTGAGCCACCAGGGAAGCCCAAGATGATTGCATTTCTAGTTAAAAGAGGTATGTAATTGAGAGAGAAGGCCTGAGGCCAGTCTTCTGCAGTATCTGGTACTGCTCATAGTTCTGACAGTGTATTTAGAGTGGCCTCACCTCTACCAGAGTGAACAGCCCAACCACAGCTTCCTCCCAAAGCATATGCTGTCTGGTTTCCGGGATGCTGAAGTTTCAAAAGACCCTCAGTCTCACTTGAGAAGGGTTCCCTTCGAAGTACACAGCTGAGAAGGGGCTGCACTGAGCTTCCTGGTGATGTTCCCACCAGCACACAAGACCTCCTTAGAACAGGGCCTGGAGAGCTCAACTGAGCACCCTGCTAGCATCTGGTGACCCGGTGACCTTATTGCTTCTGAATTGACTCATGGCCAGGATCATAGGTACAAGTTATGGGTCCCAGAAATTCCTCCAGAATTCAGTGATGTGAGGTTGAGCACCTCATCATTTTTCCTAAACTTCATTCTAATCATTTTTTACCTTAATTAAGACATTATGACTTTTAAAGAATGAATGGTTGGGATGGAAAATGAGGCAATAAAGGCAAAAAAAAAAAAGGCTTAATTTTAATAGCTCTTGTTTTCTTACAGAGACAGCCTGGAAAGAATTTGAATAAAAATCCCAATCTTAGTTCCAGAAAAGAGAACTGAGTTTTGTGTATCCATGTAAAAATGTAGGCAAAAATGAATGTGAACGTGGTAACAACAGCCAGGCTATTTGGCTGATACGGTATAAGTAGCTAATTGAGAACTGTGTTACTGTTTCTTAGGGTTTTCTGAACACCATAGTCTTGGGGTTAAGAACACTGAATCTGGAAACAGACTGAAAGTGTCAAATCCCAATTCCACCAAAAACCAGCAATGTGACCTTGTGTTAAGTATGTAACTACCTCTGGCTCCTCGCCTGAAAAGCAAGATAATAATGGAGCCCGCCTCATAGGATTGTTATACAGGTTCAATGGCTTGATCTCTTGTCAGGTGCTTAGGACAGTGCCAAGCACATGGAGTTCTTCCACAGACAGAAAACCCAGCTGAAACGCTTGTTCGTGAGCTGGCACCCTACTTGGTTGAAAACCCAGGCGCATGTTTTTAGATTCCCTTGCTGATCTTTTGACAATGCCAAGACTGCGTGTCTCCACCAAAGGTTAAGAAGCATGTAAAGACAATAAACCCAAACTGTAGTTTTAATACTAAATGAAGATGTTTAGAGGTGAATCAACATCAGAAGCAAATGATTAGAATGAGATTTGTAATTAGTATACCAATTACTCGTGTTCTTTCTAAACCTTTAGTCTCAAATATTTCTTAAAGGTTTCCATAAAGGAAAAAACTTAAAGAATTTGCCTCCCAGTAGAGTCGACTCTGGACAACCAAGTTACCCACAGATAAGCCTCCAGACCCTTTTGTGAGACAGTACATGGCACCTGAATAGATAGGGGGCAAGGGAGTCTGAACCCAGTGGGAAGGGTCATGCGTTGCCTCTGTGGCTGTGGCCTGCTTGCTGAATGGCTTGGCAGGCTCCCAGCCACACCCACTGTGAATATGTCCCACAGCTGCTTCCAGTTTCTCTGATGTTTAGGTAACTATATACAACACACAGAGCTACAAATGCACATATCTTCTGAGCAACACAAGGCATTTCTCGAAACTTTCACTGGGGATGCAACAAAGAGGCCCACAGCTTTTGATGTGCCAGGCACTGCTCTACACCCTCTGCAAAGATAACCTCATGTAAGCCTTGCAGCAACTCTATGAGGAAGGTACTATTACTTAACAGAAGAGGAAACAATCAAAGAGGTTAAGTAACCAAGGTCACTGAACTAATCAGTGACAGACCAAGAGCTAAACCAGTCTGCCCCCAGAGCTCATGTTCTTAACCATATTAACTACATCTTTTCAGTGCTATTTTAGAAGAAAAAAATTCTTCCACTGATAGAAATTGCAAATAAGTAGATCTAAGCAGCCTGTAATATAGTTCATATGGGTTTCCAAAATATCTTAAAGGAAAACCCAAGCGAACTTTTTGGCCTACTCAATACTTTTCAAATTAGACTTGAAACTTTAATTTTACATGGAAAGAGACTTGGGTTAAGAATAAGTCCCCAGTGGGATTCTTTGGTACTAAATGTGTCCTGGTTTTATTATATTTTACTTTAGCTCATGATTTATCTTTTGATTTCTGAAGGCAGCAGGCTTGGCAGATTCCTAAATGGTCTGAAACTAGGGCTCTCATAACTACTAGCCATGCCTTCTGTTGACTTGTACTGACTTAGAAGCTTTTCAAAGATTTTTTTCTTAAGTCGCAGGTTCTTGGGAGTTCACTAGATATTTCGGTAAAAGCAGATTTTTATAAATTCAGTGGGATCATGAATCCATAAAGCTTCTAAATCAGGAGCGGTAGTTTTTACAAGCTAGGGGTGCCAGTCAAGCCTATGGAGAGTGCTTCTATGAAGAGTGTCAAATATCCTCTCACAATGAGAATTCATTTCATAAACAAGTATTTGCCAAGCAGAAAAGAAATCACACGATGGTAATTCAGCATTCTCACTGTCTGCACTGTCTTGTTGCAGTGTGATTTCTAGGTCTTCCTGAGGCTAAATAGGTAGCTGTTACAGCCCAGCTAGGAGCTATGGGTATGTCAGACACATGATTCTTGGGTTACCCCTGTTCTGCTGGTTGGGAGAAACATCCTTCTGACACCTATAGGATCCGGTTCACAGCCTCAGGCTACCTTTACAAATCCGTTGGTGAGGGATGAGCCCAAAGATTTCTGCAAGGCCTGGTGTATGGCTAAAACCACCACTGCCGCCACTGTTTGCTCTGCTCTCCACACTACCTTTCCCAGGACTTCTGCTAGAGTCATGGGCTTCCCTGGTGGCTCAGTCAGTAAAGAATATGCCTGCAATGCAGGAGACCTGGGTTCGATCCCTGGGTCGGGAAGATCCCCTGGAGAAGGGAATGGCAACCCACTCTAGTATTCTTTCCTGGGAAATCCATGGACAGAGGAACCTGGTGGGCTATAGTCCATGGGTTCACAATCAGTCAGACACGACTTGGTGACTAAAGCACCACCACCACGTGCTAGAGTCCCAGGTGCCTGTCTGCCAGTTCAGCCTAGCTGGCAAGTACAGTGTACAGTGTGGGGGTGGTCTTAACTGTTACAGGCTGAAGCACCTGTTCACCCCAAGCTCTGTCCATCCTAAGCCTCCTGACTGCTGACCCCATGCATGACTAGGCCTTGGCCGAGGGCTTCCTGCCTAGTTCTCTGGTTGTCTCCTGAGACCTGACCAGGCCCAGGACTTGGCCTCACTCCTACCAGCCTCCTGACTGGTGACACTCAGTGTTCCTGCATCAGGGCCTGGTGCGGGGCAGACTGGGGGACACAGCATGCAGAGAAAGCCAGCCTGGGCAGGCAGAGCACACGGGCAGTGAGGAGATGCTGCACCCTGAACAGTCTAACCAAGGGACCAGTAAGAGCTGGGGGAGGCCCTCAGCACCCTCTGGCTGCCGCACACTCCCGCATTTAATGGCTTCCTCAGTCTTTTCAAATCTAATCGGCCCACAACGCCCAGAGCTCAGGTGTCACTGCCTTCCACCCCCAGCAGGTCCTCTGCCTCATCCATGCCATGTACAAAGCCCTATTCTATGCTGTAGGATGCTGGAACTTAATTCACTGTCTGTAAGAGGAGAGGGACAGCACAGTGGGGAAGAAGATGGGCTCTGGGGCCACATGGGATTCTGAATTTCTCTTCTGCCACTTAGTAATGTTGTGACCTTAGGCAAGTAACAACTAGCCTGAGAGTTCTACCTGCTTATCTTTAAGTGAGGCTTTAAAAAAAAAAAAAACTCGCCAAGACGATGCTCTGTGTTCACACAATTTCTTCCTCTGAGGCACACAGGAAGACCACATTTATCAGCTTCCTTTGCAGCTGGGTCCGTGCCAGGCCTGACTTGAAAACATCCCATGTGATCTTTGCACAAGCATAAATAAAACTTGAGTAGTTGCTCCTCCAGCAGAGCACACAGCCTGCCTTTGCACAAGTAGGTGAGTAGAACACAGCGAGGCTTGCCTTGCATGAAGCAAGGTAATGAGAGCCCAGACTACAAGGGAGCTGTAAAAAAAAAAGTGGCAGATTTGCGGACTTCCCTAGTAGTCAAATGGTTAAAACTCTGTGCTTCCAACACAGGGGGCACAGGTTTGATCCCTGATTGGGGAACTAAGACCCCACATGCTGCATGGCCAAAAGAAAAAAAGTGGTGGGTTTGAGAATTACTCGAGTGGGAACTAACCAGACCTAGTAATGGGCTACAGATAGAGGATGAGGGAGTGGGAAGTGTGAAAAATTACTCCAAGTGTTTAACCTGAGCTGCTAGACGCCACAAAGGACTATTTACAGAGATGGGGGAAGTGGAAGAAAAGTGGTGGGCAGGATCAGGAGTCCTATCTTAGACATAAATCAGAGATGTCAGAGACTCAAGAATTAAATACAGGAGTCGAAACAGTCTGAGCTAAAGATAGAAATTTGAAAGCCATCACTTTATAGTGGGTAATAAAAGATACGGAAATAAAGACCCAAAAACCAAGGCCTGAGAAAGAGAAATTCAGAGGTCTGCAAGGAGGGCAAATATTAGTTCTCTTTCCTTGTGTCCTCCAAGAAAAGGACAGGAACCATGACTGGATACTGCATCAACCTGTTTAAGCTCTAATTCTGTAATTAAGAAGCACCTCAAATTGGAAAGATTGAGCCCAATGTATGAACCTATAAATGCCATTACCATTTTTAAACTCTGTAAATTCCACTGTGTCTTTTTGCCAGCAGAATTATTATACCGTGGATATCATTAACTGTATATGCTGAGAGCTTCCAGATAAACCTCATTATTAGGCCTGCTTGACAAGAGCAAGACAAAGACAATGATTCTAAAAGATGAGTTCATCTGGGGTGTTTTTATTTATGCATTCATGCCAAGTTCCTTCAGTAATGTCCAACTCTGCAACCCAATGGACTATAGCCCTCCAGGCTCCTCTGTCAGTGGGATTGTCCAGGCAAAGAATACTGGAGTGGGTTGCCATGCCCTCCTCCAGGGGATATTCCCAATCCAGAGATCAAACCAGCATCTCCTATACCTCCTGCACTGCCAAGCAGGTTCCTTACCACTAGCGCACCTAGGAAGCCCGTTTTTTTTAATTTATAGTAGGAAAAAAAATAATTTTCTTGTTTCTAACATCAGTTGGTTTAATAGGTTATCTTATAAAACTATGCTTTGTATGATGCTCCCATCAATAATTTCACTTGCAGTTGCATGAAGTGAGTGTTCACTGAACACTATTCTAGGCCAGAGGCCTGGCTGAGTAGCAGAAGGGAGAAATGGAATGACAGGCCCTGTTTTCCAGGAGCTGAACTTTGTTAAAAACCAGTTTCCCTGGTCCTGTGTAGGATAAGACAGTGGACTTCGGAAACCTTAAATTCAGACAGACATCTTAAAGATAACAGCTCTCAATTCTCTTTTAGTAACCGTGCTGCTCAGAGACTGTGAGACAGCAGTAGAAAATAGCAGTGCTACTCGCAGGGTATGTGACCTTGAAGAAATAATTTAATCCTGCTTGCTCAGTTTCCTCATCTGTATGACTGGATGGTGCACCTACCAGATAGTTAATTTTGAGATTTAAATAATGCAGAAATGTCTTCTACAGAACTGTCAAGCAAAGGGAATGACATATCTAATAACTATTTCCTTCTCTAACACACAAGGCAGAGGTATTTCTTTTTAGATGCCCAGCAATGACAGCCAAATCTCCAGTAAACAGCATATTCTCAGTACCTGAGCTAGACCTCCAGCATGTATCAGGGTTATATCGGGCATCCAGAAGCATCCGGGAACCACCAAGCCATAAAGCGCGATCACAAAGTAAGGGACGGAATAGAACAGATACGCCAGCATCTGCACAGAACAGAAATAATGCCATCAGTAAATGGCAGTTAACCTAGCCTGATGAAAAGCACACATACACACAAAATTAACATTTTCTGCTGAGAAAATGTTAACTCCTCTTTCCTACATGGTATCACATTTTCCTATTCTTAAAGAAAATTAGTTTTAGAAAAACCGTAGGCTGTACAACCACCTGACCTGGATTTTAGGATAAGCAGCAGGATCCTTTAGGTACGGCTCCTGAAATTGCGTATATAATCGGCAGAGCTCAGCTGGGCAATCCAAGGCAATCTAAGAACAAAAATGAGTTCATTATAAGAGACAGTCACATCTGGTCCTTAGGTTTGCTGATAAGGCTAAATGTGCCAAGTTTAGTCACAAGTTGCTTTCTATATAACAAAACTACTTCAGAAGCTCATCAGTAAAAGGGAGAGAAAATAAATATTCTACAGATTAAAGAGATCAAGTAGAGGATAACAGTGGAGAAGGAAATGGAGACTAATTCTCTGTACCTGGGGATCTTTCTCGTGTTCAGTTTAAATGTCTAGGTTTGGCTAACCAAAGCACAGCTGCTTTAAATGATCAACTTCCCTTTTCCCGGAAATAACTAGCTAACTAGTCCCTGCAGGAAGAATAGTACATTTCTATACCAGATTCATCTTAACTATGCTGAGTCCCCTTAACTCACCTCCCTGAGGCACCACTCCTGGTGTCCTTAGCCATAAATGTTGTCCCACCTAAGTAACACATGTGAACACATCAGTGGTGGAGTTGGTTAAAATGAATCCCAACCTTAAAGCCCCATCTTCCAAGGGACACACTTTACCCAGGTTTTTCTCATGTGCACAGGGGCATGGAGATGGCTGTGCAAGAAAACAGTTGCAGCTCATTTTTATGGTTGCTGTTTTTCTCCTTTGGACTTGAGGAATTACATCAGCCAACCAGGAATGGTATCAGTGCTCTGGTCTGAGCAAAGCCTCTGCACTGCTTTCTCCTTTACATCCTTTCCCCAGGCCACTCCTACCAGCTGACCCTATTCCAGGAAGTTTTTGACGATCCACAGAGGGAGACAGCTCTGAGGACTACTCACCCTGACCTACCTGTCATACAGGTCCCTTACAGCCCAAGGACCCCAAAACAATGAATCAGCTGCATCAGTTTACATTTACCATTCTGCCCCCCAACTGCTGTGCAATGCCAGCAGGCTTAGAACAGTAATCGTCATTGCAGCTGAATATAATTAACCATATAATTCAAATCTATTGCTACTGAGGATAAACCATGAAACTGGGATACTCTGAAGGACCCTTGATCAACAAAAACAAAGCAGTCACTTACTGAGTACTTTTTAGGTATAAGGCTCTCTGCAAGTGTCTGATGTGCCTTATCATTTAATCTTCAAACAATACTCTAAGGTAGGTACCCTTACTTTATAGAGGAAGAAACTGAGGATCAAAGAGGTTAAGTGATGTTTCCGAGACTACACAGCTAGGAAACAGCCAGGAGTCTGACAGCTTACTCCAATACCCTGTCCTCAATCCCATCTCCCTGCTCCTGAGAACACATGAACGCTCTGTGCCAGCTTGATTAGAGTCTAAAGTCACCACCCTTAACAAAGATTTCAATCAGAAACATCAAACAAATGAATGAGAGGAATGGCTAATTTTTCAGGAGCCTTAAAAAGATTAATTGGTGAAGAGCTTGATCTGAGGACCTCAAGAAGATGTCATGAAACAGCCCAGAAGGGACCCCCTTTGGGAGGAGAGGTTTGGGGTGAGGGTAGGAGGGTAGCAGGAAGCAGGTCCAGGCCTCTAGGCTCTAATTTGTTGTTTAGTTGCTCAGTCATGTCTGACGTTTTTGCAACCCCATGGACTGTAGCCCTCCAGGCTCCTCTGTCCATGGGATATCCCAGGCAAGAATACTGGACTAGGTTGTCATTTTCTTCTCCGCTAGGCTCTAATAGGAAGTATGTTTTGTTAGTGCCATGGAAAATCTGATTTAAAAAAAATTTTTTTATGTTATTGTGGTCCCTTATGCTTACCAAGCCTCTAAACACGCAAAATCCAGTCGCCAGAAGGAGACACAAAACCAACATTAAATCAAAAGGTCTTCTCAGCAGGTCTTTTGCTTGGACCTCTTGAATGACCTAAAATAGAGTTGGTAACTGATGAGATGCCAAAGAATAATCTGAGATCTACTGAAACAAAGATACTGTGGTAAGATAATTTTCAAGATTCAAAACCACTAACAAGGTAATTTAGGAAAATAATTCCTCTCCCCAAGTCTCAGTTCCTCATCAGTGAAATGAGGATTGGGCCAAGTGATCTTGAAGGGCCCTTCAGGTTCTGTGAGGCCATATTTTTTTAAATAGCATTTTTATGATCTTAAGTGTAAAATGTACTCATCTTTAAAATAAACCAGTAACCCGTCATACTACTATTAACACTTGTTGTATTTTCCAGTCACAAATACATAGTTTTATACGTATATATAATAGTACATGTGTTAAGTATAATATATAATCTACATTTATTTTTTCACAAAGTTAGGACTTAATGTATAAACAACTTTGCATTTGTTTTTTTGCCTCTCACTACCTATGAGTACTTAACCACATTGTTAAAAGTTCTTTTAAAACTTACTGCCACATGGTAGTGCCATCATTGGATATTTAGGCATCTTCACTGTTTATACTTAATGCAATGACGAGCAACTTTGTACATAAATCTTTGACAGAATCTCTGATTATTTTCTTAGGATACAGCCCTCAGAATTACTAAGGTTAAAAACTTAAATTTGTTAATGTTGATAACATTGCCAAGGGGCTTTGCAGAGTGATTCTGAATTTGTGTTTGTATCAGCACTGTATGACTGCCTATTTCTCCCTGGCCATCACTGTGTTTTAACACTTTTTAAAAAAATTAATAGTTTGTGTGTCTTACAACATGAACAGTACAGATATGCTAGCCTGGAGCCATCAGAGTCAGTGAAGCAAGAAGGAAGGCTATGGTTTGTTGTTTAGTCGCTCAGTCGTGTCTGACTCTTTGTGACCCCGTGGACTGTAGCCCACCAGGCTCCTCTGTCCACGGGATTCTCCAGGCAAGAATACTGGAGTGGGTTGCCATTTCCTCCAGGGAATTTTCCCGACCCAAGAATCACACCTACATCTCCTGCATTGTAGGCAGCTTCTTTGCCACTGAGCCACTGGGGAAGCCCTTAAGGCCATGGTTACTGTCTGCTTGTTTTTTTAACAACCACCTCATCTTCAAAGGGTATAAGGAGGCACCAGTTATCAGCGTGCCAAGCTGAGTTTACACAGCATGTGTCCAAACATTCACAAATGAAGTGTTTGTAAATTAAAATGTATTTTAATGAATTCTATTGTAAGTCTTTTTGTAAAATGAAGAATCATGTTCTGATTATCTCTAGTAACTCATATTTTCATGTATCAATTTTGCTTAAGGATCTAATATCTATGAAAGGAAGAGAAACTTAGAAAGATGTCACTAGCTTAGAACTGAAGACCTTAACAGAGTACCTGCCGGGCCAGTATTGTTTCACCTTGAGCACCTTGGCTGTGACTGGAAGGGAGGTATCTCAGAAGATGTCCTGCAGCCAGTCTCCATGTGCCTGGATCTCCTGGTAATCAGACCCTCTGACTGTGTGCTACCTGGAACAGCAGTGTCTCTCCAGCCTCCCTCTGGGGCAGTAGTGCATAGATAGCTCTGAAAGAGGTGCCCAGATGCTCAAACTCCAGGCCATTAGCACCCCCAGATAAACCTCATACACTGGGCAATAATGCGGAATCTAATGGGAAGAGCCAGAGTAACCTGTGGCACCAGAAGTTCCAAAAAGCATGGCCTAGCCAATCAAAGCAGATCTAATCACACAGAAGCAGACCATCTGGCCGCCATAATAAGGTGTGAACCGCTGCTGCAGAATCAACACAGTCACGCTGACCGACTGCCCCAAAGGCCTCAGTCCCTGGAGGCCTGGTCCAGTCCCATAGCTGGTGGATACAAGTGACCTCTGAGTTTGAGAACAGGTTTACATTTAAATTAATAAAATCACCTTTGAGGGATAATTATAATTTTCTGATGGCTGATTATAGATTCTGAAACCAGCCCAGACAGGAAGACAAGTATATGGTATGCTTAAGAAAAAGGCAGGACAAATACGTGTTCCATACTTCCCTATTTAAAAGAAAGAAAGAAAAAGTCAAAAGTTTACCAAAAGTATATCCACATACAAGTAACATGTAGGACCCCTCCCCATCTCAAGTCATCTAAAATCCTGATATGGACCAGACAGTATTTTTAATGAGACCAGAAGCATAGGTCAGTTTAAAACTATTAGGTATTTATTAACAGGTATGCCTTATTTACAGTACTTTAAAAGTAGACTTAATATAATATCCTGATTTCTGGCACGCATAAATAACTTTTATATCAGCTTTCAAGAATCTTAATTTTCAAGTATATTATCATGTGCCCACTGTGTCAAGTTATATATAGTACAAAGAGATGTAAGAGGTATCTTCATACTGAATGTAGTGACAAACCCAATATTTACCCCACTAGATCTTTCTAGAAGTCATGAATCACTGATATTAGTCTAGTTATTCAGTGTACACTTTTGAAAATTGCTCAACAGCATTTCTTAAAAGGAAAGTTGGAAGGGAAAAGAAGTAACTGCAAAACAGCTCTTTGGTAAACTTGGAATGTCTTGGTTCTATCACAACCAAAATAGCTTCCCTATTTAAAAATTATTCCCATTGTTTCAGAAAAGGAAAGTGAATTTTAAGATAAAGTTTCTTACCTACAATGTTTCCTGGCACAAAAACAACAATGCTCATAATAATAGATCCGACCCAATATAGGCCAATGGTTCTATAACTTTCCCTGTAATGAAAAAAATCCTGACTTAGCACACTTGTTTTAGAATACTATTAGTATAAGATGCTCCACAATTGATCTCTGTTGTAACTAGTAAAGTACGTGAATCGAAAATGTACTGAATCAAGAGTAATAAATCCAGTACAAGGAACCCTGGTGATTGATCAAATTGCATTTCCCTATGTGATGAGCTATAGAATCCTCTTTGTGTCCTTTTGCATAGGAAATTATGCTTGCTACACTAAATCTTCTGGTCAACCACACTATGGTCATCACTTTCGAAGGAGGCCTGCATTTCACTATTATTTATGAAACTCACAGCATGAAAGGGAAAAGAAGGTTCAAAGAAGAAAATTGGATCCATTTTTAAAGTCATTGTAAGTATGAGTAGTAGGATGCTAATAAATGGACTTTCCCAGGTATCACAGAATTTCAAAGTCCCAAAGATAAGTACAGTAAGTGACACATAACCCATGTTCGGAAGGAGCTGCTAGACACATACCTCTAATCTTAATAGGTGATGTTGACAAAAAGTTTTTGCAACCGATAACTGACAACTCAAGATGGTTAGATCGCATCACTGACTCAATAGACATGAGTTTGAGCAAACTCCGGGAGATGGTGAAGGCCAAGGAAGCCTGGTGTGCTGCAGTCTGTGGTGTCACAGAGTTGGACAGGACTTAGTGACTGAATAACAAGTGACAACCCACCTCCATAAAGGGGCTCAGAGAAATTCAAAAAGGGATTCTCTGCCGGGAAAGGGAAGTGAAGAATACTGTGTGCTTTCTGCCCTGCCCGACCCGCCAAGCCCAATGTATCAGATCCCAGGAGGCCCATTCACAGTGACTGGGACTGTCAGCAGGGGGCAAATCAGAATCTTCTTCCCCAACAGGACCACAGAAATGCTGGCCCACACTTGGCAGGAGGCAGAGCCTGAGCATTCTCGGAAACACCTGCTGTGTTCCCTGGAGCTTAGGAACATTCATGAAGAGAAGGGCAAGAGCCTAGAAAAGTCAAGAAATTAGCTGGGACTATCTTGCAGTGGACAAATGGGGGCTGGGGAGGGGAACAGGACAGTTTGTCAAGCTGAATTTCAACCTTGTGAGGAGCTAGAATGTGAAACTTGAACCTGGAGCCAAAGGGAGGCCTGGGAAGGTAGGTGGACTTGAGACATCTTTAAAGGACTCTACCCCAAGGGTATGCCTTCTGGGTTATAGGGGTTCCAGCAGAAAGAAGCTGTGGGTGTACCCCATGGGCAGAAGAGTCACACAATTTCAGCCCACAAGAGCATTGCTCATTTCAGGAATCAGGGTAGTGCAGAGGCACTTATGGTGCATGCGTGTGTTAAGTCACTTCAGTCGTGTCCAACTCTTCGCAACACTATGGACTGTACCCTGCCAGGCTCCTCTGTCCATGAGATTTCCCAGGCAAGAATATTGGAGTGGGTTGCCATGCCCTCCTCTAGGGGATCTTCCCAACCCAGGGATCGAACCCATGTCTCTTATGTCTCCTGCATTGGCAGGTGGGTTCTTTACCACTAGTGCCACCTGGAAAGCCCGGTTCCTATGGCAGGGGTCTCCAAAGACCCAACACATGCGCCCCCCCAAGGCAGAGCCAGCATACCACCTGGCTCGCAATACCCAGAAAACAGCACTGGTCATATAAGACTCTGCTCCTCGGGGAGGGGGTGGAGGGGAAGACTCTGCTCCTCTTCCCTTAATTCCACATACACACACATGCTCCCAGAGGAGTGAGCTGAGAAGTAATAAAAGCACTGACCGTGTACCCCAGCCTCAGTGCAGACCGCTCAGTCTCAGGGTTAAACCTGAGCTGGAGGGAGAGAGCTCTGAACTGAAAGGAGTCTGAAGTTTTGAATTACAACGAGAACATTAAGGGGTCAGCTGGAGCTGTCCATCGTGGCAAAAAAACTGTGTTAGTCGCTCAGTCATATCCAACTCCTTGCAACCCCACGGACTGCAGCCTACCAGGCTCCTCTGTCCATGGAATTTCCCAGGCAAGAATACTGGAATGGGAAGCCATTCCCTCCTCCAGGGGATCTTCCAGACCCAAGGATCGAACCTGGGTCTCCTGCATTGCAGGTAAATCCTTTACCATTTGAGCGACCAGGGAAGCCAGAGGGGCAGTCCAAAGGCATATGTTCAAAAGGGAGTAAACGCTGCAAAAATGCTGTAAATGCATGTATCACTTGGGTCCACAGAGCCTGTACCCATGTCCGTGTGCCCCTCTCTATGTATCTGCCTCGCCTGTCAGTTGCTAAGGTGACCCAGGCACACCCACCAGGTTAGCTGACTTACTCCCAGGCTATGGCTGCCACCATCACCAGATACATCAGATAATGAGCAGAGCCGTCCCAGTAGCAGATCATATGTCCATAGGCCGTGTTCAGATACGGTTCACCCTGAGGAGAGCATAAGAAGTCCACTGTAAATAAAACTCAAACATTTCAGAGCAAAATACCAGACCAGTATTGCATGTAAAATAAAACAGCAGAACTAACATGTTCGTATGCTGAAGTGAAACTATTCAGAATCCGAGACAATTACAAAATTGGTAGGAACATGAAAATAAACATGTTTTATATACATATATATGTATACAAATATACAGGGCAGAGAAGCCTGGCAGGCTACAGTCCATTGAGTCACAAAGAGTTAGACATGACTTAGTGACTGAACAACAGCAATGAAAATATACATGTACCCTGGAGCCGCCGAAACTAGGGTCTGCCACAGCAGGTGGAATGAGTCCGTGCCTGTCCCATGCTAGGTCTACACAGGTGTATTGTTGTTCAGTCACTAAGTCGTGTCTGACTCTTTGTGACCCCATGGACTGTAGCCTACCAGGCTCCTCCCTCCATGGGGTTCTCCAGGCAAGGATATTAGAGTGGGTAGCCATCCCCATCTCTAGGAGATGTTCTTGACCCAGCGATCGAACCCACATCTCCTGCACTGACAGGTGGATTCTCTAGTGCCATCTGGGAAGCCCACATAGGTGTGTACAGTGATGCAAAACAGATGGTATCACAAGCAATCCTGCCCTTGTGGCAAACTCACTGAGGCCAAGTCCAGTCTGTGACTAAAGGTGTTTATCTCTGGCCAGGCAGGGTGGCCAGGGGAGACCCTGCTGACCAGAGTCACTTGACTGACCTTCAAAATTCATGCTGACCCAGAGGCCTGCTGGGCTGCATGTAAGGAAGGCAGGGCTTTCCCCCGCTGCTATCCCCTATGCAGGCATGGACAGGCTTCACACCCTGCCCCTCATTCAACCTTCCAAGCAGCACCATGGGATAGATACAAGTGACCCGATTTTATAGATGAGCAAACAGAAGTTCCAAGAGGTTACCTGACCTGCCTAAGGTCACACAGCTAATTCCTAGCAGAAACTGTACTACCAAGAAGAGCTGTGGGCTTCCCAGGTGCCTCATTGGTAAAGAATCCACCTGCCAATGCAGGAGACACAGGTTAGATCCCTGGGTCAGGAAGATTCCCTGGAGAAGGGAATGAAAATCCACTTTAGTAGTCTTGCCTGGAGAATTTCATGGACAGAGGAACCTGGTGGGCTACAGTCCATGGGAGTCACAAAAGAGTTGGATATGACTGGGCAACTAAACAACAAAAAGAAGAAGAGATACACTTCCAAGAAATTTTTAGTTTTATAAACAGATTATACGATGAGCCATGAACACATTTCCTTGTCCCAGGTGCTTTACGTTTGCAGGCCACTGCTGGAAAGTCACTGCCGAACCTGCCTGGGTGTTTGGTGTCATTCTGGCTCCTCCCCACTCTCCTGTCTTCCCTTCTCCCACACCTGTGCTCTCCTGCCTTGTTTCAGATGTCTTCCTAAGATGCCTGAAGACCTTTCCACAACAAGGAAGAGGGCAGATCAACCAGCCCGTCAATCAGCCAGCCAAGCAGGGCTTTTTCTGCAGTTCCTTGGGGCAAGGACTGCCTGTCATCTTGCCTCACACATCAAATCACGTGAGCATCACGGGGCAGGGGGGTGGGGCAGGGGGATGGGGCGGCGGGGAGGGAGGAAACAACATACAAGTCAGGCTTTAATACTCATGCCCAGCCCACATCTTTTCTCTCTGACGTGCTTTGACTGAATAATACCATCCAAGGTCATGTTGTTTTTGGGGGGTTTTTTTGGCCATCCCATGTCGCAAGTGGGATCTTAGTTCCCTTACCAGGGATGGAACCTGGGCCCCTGGCAGTGAAAGCATGAAGTCTTAGCCACAGGACCGCCAGGGAAGTCCACCCAAGTTCATGTTTTTCATCATGCATGCCTACACATCTGGTTCTCTGAGCTGTGCTGGCCTCACCCAGTGGCTTGCTGAGCATCTTCCACTGGATGGGTCCAGGGACCCTTCTAGCCCACCTCACCTCCTTTAACGCATCAGCTTGTCCCCTCAGCCAAGCCCCACTTGGCCTATGTTCATGGAGACACCACTCAGGTTGCCCAGCTCAGAACCACAGGGTCGTTTTCACTCCTCCTTCTCTTACGCAGTCTGCTGGCAGGTCCCATTGATCCGTCTCTATGATGTCAACCCCAGGCAATCCTCCCTCCCGTCACAGCCTCATTCGAGCCCTCAGCACCCCTCACTAGACCTTTCCTACGTGGTCATCCCACCTCTCTCCTCTCCTGCCAATTCACCACACCCCTGCCCTAGCTCTGGACATGTCATTCTTCAGCTCAGAAACCTCCCAAAGCTGGTGGCAACTGCAAGACAAGCCCTACATCCTCTTCTCTGGCAGCCACGTCCCCCAGCCTGGCCCTGCACCCCTCCCACAGTTGCACCTCAGCCCCCCTCCTCATCCCCCTTTTACTCAAACTCCAGGCCCTCCTGGCAGCTACCTCCTTCCTAAACCCTCCTCGCTGTGAGCTCTGTGGCCCTGAACTCCCTGGGTATTTCTGCCTCTTTTTTAAATATATGTATTCTTTTTTTTTATTGTTGGCTGCACTGGGTCTTTGTTGCTGCAGATGGGGTTTCTCTCGTTGCAGAGAACGGGGGCTACTCTCTAGTTGCGGTGCACAGGCTTCTCTTTGTGGTGGCTTCTCTTGTTGTGGAGCACAGGTTCCAGGGCGTGCAGGCTCAGCAGTTTGGGCACAAGGACTCAGCAGTTACACCGGGCAGGCTCTAGAGCACAGGCTCTGTAGTGGCGCACGGGCTTAGTTGCCCCACAGCATGTGAAATCTTCCCGGACCAGGGATCAAAGCTGCATCCCCTGCATTGGTAGTCAGATTCTTGACCACCGGACTACCTGGGAAGCCCTCCTTCTGTGTTTGTGCCTGTCCCCTCCCAGGCCACTTCAGAGGCTCCTGATCTTCTGGCCAAGGTCTCCAAAGTTCCACCCTCAGCCCTCCTCTCTCTACCTTCTCTTCTCAGACCTTCAGGTGCCAACTGTCCTGAGATGGTCCCTACATCTCTTCCCCGAGCTCAACACCTGCAAAGCCTTGCCTGCTGGGCCACCTGCCGGGATGTCCCTTACCCATCTGAAAGTCCTCACATCCCCAGATGAACTCAGCATCATCCCTGCCTGGCAGTGGGGAGCCCCGTGCTGTTTCTCATCTCGAAGCCTCTGCCCACACTGTCTCTTCTCCTTGGAGTCCCTCCACCCCCAAGTCTATCTGGAAAACGTGTGTCATCCACTGCCATTGCCATTTTTAAAAAAGACTAGGGCAGGGCTTCCCTGGTGGCTCAGTAGTGAAAAAAAAACAACAACAATAAGCTGCCTGCCAATGCAGGAGACACGGGTTCCATGCCTGGTCTGGGAAGATCCCGCATGCCAAGGGACAGCTAAGCCCGTCCGCCACAACTATTGAGCCTGTGCTCTAGAGCCCGGGAGCTGCAACAACTAAGCCCTAGAGCCCATGCTCCACAACAAGAGAAGACCCCGCAATGAGACGCCCAGGCGCTGCCACAACTAGAGAGCAGCCCCGGCTCTCTGCAACTAGAGAAAAGCCTGTGCAGCAAAGAAGACCCAGCACAACCAAACTTAAATTTAAAAAAAATTTTTTAAGCTAGGGCAGCGTCACGGAGGGCCCCCTTTAAGTGCTCCCAGAGTCAGGATGGTATCTTAGCCCTTATTTTCCCCATTGCCCCCAGCTCATCCCTGAGACCTACTCATTCCAGCCACTCAGATTCTCTGAAGTTCATCCTTCCTCTCTACCGTTCATGCTTGGCTTCCATCTGGGTCGCCTTCATGCCCTCACTGGCCCTGCAGGACACCTCCTGGCTGGTGTCCTAGCTCACAGCACTGACCCTTCCCTTCAAACCCATCCTCCTCTGAGCTGACTGCATTGTCCCCTGACTCAACATCTTCCGTCACACGAGGGACAAAACCCAAACTCCCTTGGCTTGCACTCAAAGCTCCCCGTTGCCTGAAATATGAATGATGACTACACTGCTCCTTATTTCCTATGTGACCTGGAGTATATTACTTAACCTCTCTGGGGCTAGATTCATCACACCATCAAATAAGGAAAGAGGACCAGCTCTGTCAAGTGCCAGGTAGATTGATAATGCTGTGATGAGGAGCAGAGCACGTATTCATCATCACAATCAAATGGCTTTATTAACTGACTCCATGTTTGGCAGTTTACACATTTAAGACTGACTGACTTGGGGTTTCTTAAGGAGTAATGCATTGATAACAACAGATACACAGATACTGACTTCATTTAAAGACCTCTGCTGCTGCTCCTACTAAGTCACTTCAGTCGTGTCCGACTCTTTGCAACCTCATGGACTGTAGCCCACCAGGCTCCTCTGTCCATGGGATTCTCCAAGTAAGAATACTGGATTGGGTTGCCATTTACTCTGCCAGGGGATCTTCCCCACCCAGACACTGAACCCTCGTCTTTTACATCTTCTGCATTGGCAGCTGGGTTCTTTACCACCAGCGCCGCCTGAAAAGCCTTAAAGTACCCCACTTATTTTAAACACAAGTAGAGGAGGAAGGTGGTGAGTCAGGTGTGAAGATAGAGTTGTAAGACCCAACACTGAGGAGAGCTGCCTCCCATGATCTAATCCTAACTTTCCACTTCACTTTCCACGTAACTGAGTGTCCTGTGTCCACAGCAGTCAATGAAATAGCACGGGTCGTGCCTTCTTACACGACACGAAAGGATTTCCAGCTAGAGCAATACTGTTGGAGTCGCCGACCCTTCGGTTCCCATGGTGCGTATGGTGCTAAGTGCCCCCGTACCTCTCTCAGGTAGTGTGTCATGAACCCGTCGATGATCCCATCTTGCTCCAGTCCTATGATGAGGTTTACGACGCTGGTAAATCCGAACACAGCGTACACTAGAGCAGAGAAAGCAACAGTTCAGAAAGCCACAGCTCAGGGGGCAAAGCCTAACAGCTTGGCGTCTACCAGTAATGATTTCTTTTTTACTTTTAATTTTATTTATTTGGCTGTGCTAGGTCTTAGCTGAGAGGCATGTGGGATTCTAGTTCCCCAGCCAGGGATTGAACCCTGGGACCCCTGAAGTGGGAGTGTGGAGTGTTAGCCACTGGACCACTGGGGAAGTCCCCAGTAATGATTTCTTGTCATGTTTTCCAGAAGGCTCTATAGATGCCGTCAACAAGGACTCACAGAACGTACCTCCCGTGCACACAGCTGGAGCCGCCCACCAGTGTCATGACCTGCAAGAGGACACCCACTCGGAGGAGCACATGACAAGGTCCCAGGGGATTCTAGCAGGCTGCCCGACTCCCCTCCTCCACTTCCTGCACATGGCTGCCAAGGCACATCTGCATTCCAGCTGGGCGGCAGGAACAAAACCATTCCCCTGTGACCCACGAAGCACAGAGGTGACCACTGACTCAAAAGAGATCTTTCACATCAATGGTTACCAGGTGGCCCGACTCACCGTGTATCCAGCGTGCTTGCCTTAATCCACACTGGAGATCCTACAGACAAACAGTGGCTGATGTGAAAGTGATGGTTGTTTTAGGAAGGAAGGCTAGTGATTTTTAGAAAACTGGATATGAGGTGGAACCATTGAATATTAAAGAGGGAAAGCCACAGCATCTTAGAGAATCTCACTAAGGATGTGAGTCCACTCCTCAGTGGACTGAAAACTACCAGCAACAACTACCAGCTAAGGAATAATACTTTTTAAACAGTGAGTGATCAAATTTAGCATGTGGCAGTTTGTCAATAAAGCTCTCTGTTCAAATCATAACAAATCAGCATCAAACTGTGTGTTGGGCATGGATGGTAAAAAAAAATCTGGTGGTGGAACTTCCCTGGTGGCCCAGTGGTTAAGACTCTGTGCTCCCAATGCAGGGGCCATGGGTTCCATCTCTGGTAGGGTAACTAAGATCCTGCACGCTGCATGGCACACCCCAAAAGAAAGAAATTTTTAAAAAAATTTGATGGTGAATATAAGAACAGCTGTGAAACAAGAAAATGCCCAGGAAGGCAGGCAAGGTTAACTTACAGAGCAGGGAAGCTGACCATGCCCCAAGTCTGCAACCAGGAGTGCAGTGTCTACATTTTCCCCAGGGAGAGTGGGAGGCCCACACGTGCCCTGCCTCCCCATGCCTCTGTGCAGGCCTTTGGTCCAGATCTCGAGGGCACTGATGAGCCATTAGGTGATCAGCCATTGTGTGTCTCCCGGAAGAGGAAGCCTTCAGCAACTGATCATTCGGCTGTTCTACCGACAATCGCTGATGCCAACAGCAGTGTCAGGCTCTGGGTCACTGATGACAAGGACAGTCCATGCCCTCCAGTCTGGGCTGCACTGGCTGATACGAGGACAGAGGGCTGAGAGAGAGGAGGGCACTCAGCCCTGAGGACCCTGGAGAAACACGAGTGCCGCTGAGCGAGGGCTCCACGGAGCACGGAGGAAGGGGAAGGAAGCCGGCGGCAGGAGGCCAGTCTGCAAACGTGGGCAGAGGCCAGACCAGTGGCAGGGGGACTGGAGGCAGAAAAAGGACATGGATTCAGACAGGCCCAGCTCATCGACTGACTGGCTGTCAGCGCTTAGGTAAGTTTCATTTCTCTAAGCTTCAGAGTTTTTTATATGCAAACTGGGAGAAATCTGGGGCATCAGTGCTGTCTCACTGGCTGTAACCTTGACCCCATTTCTCAGTGCCTCTGAACCAGATTCTTCGTGTGTGCAGAGAGGATATTGTTGTGAAAGAAAGAAAGTGAAAGTGTTAGTCGCTCAGTGTCTGACTGTTTGTGATCTCATGGATTGTATCTGCCAGGCTCCTCTGTTCATGGAATTCTCCAGGCCAGCATACTGGAGTAGGTAGCTTCCTTTCTCCAGGGGATCTTCCCGATCTAGGGATCGAATCCAGGTCTCCTGCATTGCAGGCAGATTCTTTACCATATGAGCCACTAGGAAAGCCCTGTTTGTTGTGAGGATTAACTAAAATGATACTGCTAATGTGCTCAGAGCCATACTAGGCACACCACAGGTGCTCAATCAGTGGTGTTTTCATTTATTTAAGATCCATGTGTATTTGCCAGGCAGTGGTTCAAGTACTTTATTTTTTTTTTCAAGTACTTTATAAACAGTATCTTATTTAATGTTTGTACCAACCCTCCTCATTGTACAAATGTGCATACTGAGGCACCAGACCGCTAAGCTCAAAGCCAAATGGAAGGGGCTGCAAATAGCTGGCTGAAGGCCGAAAGCCAGGAAGGAGCTGGTACAAGATCCGAGGTCAGAGGTCAGAGCATGGCTCAGGTCAGAGGTCAGAGCATGACTCAGGGCAGAGGCAAGGAACAGATGGGTGTCCTGCCTGGGTCCCAGCTGGGACAGGGTGGGGTGCACTGCTAGCGAGAGTCCTTCACTTAGAGGGAAGCAGGCTGCATCTTATGGAAATACTCTTGCACTTTGCATCACCTTACCAGTTGGCTCAGCGTATTCACAGCCACAATGGAAAACAGACAGAGGCTCACATGCTGTGCCCTGAGGTGGACACAAAGGGCCCGCTCCCATGGAGACATACCATAGAACAGTGGGTCCCGAGGGGGTTTTCTTTTGACCAGGACACGAGCCAGCAGGGCCACCAGGAGCAGGACAACGGCAGCAGCCCCTACAATTGTCCAGGAACTGCAATGACCAGAACAGGGAGGTGGTCACTTATCAATATAAACACACGGGTTCATGGAATTTCCTGGCTAGTGAATGCACTCTCTCCCAGCGCAGCCTCTGCCTACAGCCCAGGCACTGTGGCATTCATAAAGTTTGTCTACAGAACTTGGGGCCCTCTGGGCCACCCCGTGACTTTCAGGGACCAGGACCAGAGCTACCAGGTCCTCACTCTCTGGTCATCCCGCCCACCTGGGCGAATGACGTGTCTGAGTGCCCTCTGCCACTGTCCATCTGCTCCTCCAAACCCTGTGCCTGATGTCTGACAGGCCTACCCACTGAATCTGCCTCCTTCCATAGGGCTGGCTGGAAACCCTCACACTGAGCTCCAAGGAGCATGCAGGAGTCACAACTACATCACCTTCTAAGGAGGAAGGGCCCCAGGCTGTGTGTATAATCAAAGGGACCAGAGGACCAGGCCAACCCAAGGAGAGAAGAGCTGGGGCTGGGCCCAAGGCCTGAATGAAGCCAGCCCCCCAACACCCAGGAAGCCAAGGTGAGCTAGTCTGGGCATAGCCCTGGACTTCCTCCTAGGAAAACGCATGGCCTAAGGGGACAGGGAACGAACAAATCCACTCCTTGGCAGGACAGAACAAGGGTACAGGCTTGCTGGAGTGAGCAGCTGAGGGACCGGGCGGCTGGTACCTACTCTGCTCCTGCCCGTGGGCCTTAGGAAAGTCAAGTCATTGCATCATCTGTTTTTTAGTTAATTAAGACATATTGAGGGACTTTCTTGGTGGTTCAGTGGTTGGGACTTCGCTATTCAACGCAAGGAGTGTGGGTTCAATCCCTGATTGGGGAGCTAAGATTCCCACACGCCTAGAGGCCAAACAATCAAAACATAAAACAGAAGCAATATTGTAACAAATTCAATAAAGTCTTTTTAAATGGTCCACATCAAAAAATCTTTAAAAGAAAACATATTAAGGAAAACTGCATTGCACACCCCTATAGGCCAGTCACTGTGGATGAAATAGAGAGACCCCCGTCTACACAGGAGGACCTATCTCAGTGGGCTAAGCTCTCTCACCCAGAGGTCACCTCCAGTTCTAAGAGGTATTTTCTCTCTCATACCTCCACACCAATAGGGCATCCAGTTCTAGACAAAGCACCACCCAACCCATTCCCAGGGCCTGCTTTCACTAGGGCCCCCTCGGTAATCCTCGAGAGCTGCTCTAGCACCACCCCTTAGCCAAGACCCTTCCACACCATCACAGAGGATGTCTGGATAACCTTTGCTATATGTCCCTGGGACTTCTGGAAAGTACCCTTCACAGCCCACCAGCACCTACTAATAGCTGAGGGAAAAACTCATGCTGAAGTTCACTCCACACTCTACAGTTGGATTGGGTGCAGGCAGGGGTCAGAAATCTGCTCCTAATGTCAGAGAGGGAGTGATCCATCTATATGCAGGTAGACGAACCCCAAGGAGAGTGGCCCCAGGTCCAGGAAAACTGTATCCCATGCACCTGGCCCCAGGCCCCACTTAAGAGTCGAGGAGTGGTTTCTGGGAATCAGCAGCACCCAGACTTTCAAATGCCACCCCAGACCTACATATTCAGAATACTTCAGGTGTGGGCTATGGGAATAGGTTAATTTTTTCAAGACACCTGGGTGAGTATGCACAGAAAGTCTGCCTGGGGACCTCTTTTAAGATTTTCAGGAACTGATGGATGAGTGAGGGAGGGAAGGAAAGGGAGAGAAAGAAAGGAAGGAGAAATGGATGGATGATGGATGAATGGATGTTTGGATGGATAAATGGATGGACAGATGGATGGATGACATGATGGATGGTGGATGAATGGACAGATGAATGGATGGATGAATGGATGTTTGGATGGATAGATGGATGGCTGACAGATCATTGATGGTGGATGAATGGATGGATGACAGATGGATGGTTAGATAATGGATAGTGAATGATGAATGAATGAATTGTGGATGGATGGATGGTGAATGATGGATGGATGGGTAGAGGAATGAATGGATGTTTGGATGGATAGATGCATTCATGACAGATGATTGGTGGTGGATGGTGGATGAATGGATAGATGAATGGATAGATGAATGGATGGATGAAGAATGATAGATGAATGGATGACAGATGGATGGTTAGATAATGGATAGTGGACAGTGAATGCATGAATTGTGGGTAGATGAATAGAAGGATGCATGGTGAATGGAGGACATAGTTCTATGATAAAAATGAAGATGGCCATGTCGGTGTCCAGGTAAGAGACTGAAATAGGAGGTTTCTAGTGCCACACATCAGTGGATGCTCCAGGCTCTTCCTGTAGGTTGAGCCAAAGGAGGAGACGATGAAAGAGAGAACTAATATGAGTCAGGAACACACTGCTGGGCAGAAGCATCCTGTGAACAGAGAAGAGGTTAAGGTGCTGTGTAGGCTGAAGGGTCAGGAAGATCCCCTGGAAAAGGGAATGGCTACCCTTTCCAGTATTCTTGCCTGAAGAATTCCTTGGACAGAGGCCCTGGCAGGCTACAGTCCATGGGGTCACAAAGAGTCAGACACTACTAAAGCAACTTAGCACACATGCACACACGCATGTGTAGGCTGACAGAAGTTTTCATCACAGCCTGACTCTGGCAGAGGCCAGGAGACAACTCCCATCCTTGTTCCCATCAAGGACCCGGCTCACAGCCAGCACCATCACACAGCTGGTGCTCTTCTGGACTAGAGAGCAGTATAAACTGCTTCATGGTGTCTGCTCCCACTCCCCACCTCTAGGGGAGGAGCAAAGGATGAAGAGTAACTGGGGCAACAGAGCATCTGCATCTCCCAGTGACAGCCAAGTGCAGGACCTGCTCAGAACGGGGAGAAATGGGTCCAGCAGGGACCCAGAGGTGGAGGAGGGGTAAGGGCTGCCACTAATATGAGGGTGGAAAAGCTGTTAGTCTTGTAATGGGTGTGTTTGGGGATGAGGCTGGGGAGCAGGGGGAGAGTTTCTGATGCCCTTACATGAACAGATGGCTACTGAAAGGGATCATGTGTGGGTGAGTATGAGTTGTGTATGTATGTGTGTGTCTATGAGATACAGAGAGAGAATTCAATTCTTTTCCTGGTGCCTCGACTTAAGTGGCTTTTTCTGTTCTTCAGGCTTTTGTAAAAGGTCTGGTGGGAAGGAAGCTTCAGCTAATTCAACTAATGCAAACTGAATGGGATGCCTTCTAGGCACAAGCCCCCCACCACCCCTACCCCCCCACACTGGGCAGGACAATGCTAAGGGGAGCCATGGCCTGAGAAGGTAAATTCTGACCACAGAGAAGTAACTCTTGTGGGAAAAGCACAACCCAACAGGGGCTCAGAGGAGGGAGAGACAGAGGGAACAGAGACTCCCCTGCTTGGGGGGGAGTGTGGAAGAGGCAGAGGTGGCATTTTACTCCAGGTTATAAAGTCCAGGTGTGGCTTCAATCATCAGCGACAGGAAGGAAGACGTCCCAGTCCCAGCGAACAGTGTGAGCAGCAGCAAGGAGGTGGGGGATTAAGGAGTGTCCGGGACACAGAACCAGGTGGCGCTAGTGGTAAAGAACCCGCCTGCCAATGCAGTGAGACTCGGTTTGATGTCTGGGTCAGGAAGATCACCTGGAGGAGGGCACAGCAATCCTCTGCAGTATTCTTGCCTGGAATATCCCATGGACAGAGGACTCTGGCGGGCTACAGTCCATAGGATCTCAAAGAGTCAGACACGACTGAAGGGACTTAGCGCAGGGGCACAGAACAGTCCAGTGCGGCTGAAGCACCAGCACGGCTGACTGGGCCGGGCTGGAGGGCTGAGGCAGATATGCACAGGGCAGAGCGAAGGGAAACTCCCTGGGAGGCTCTGCAAGAGAGGGCCAGTACTGCCAGTGGGGTGGGGGGACAGGAAGGAGGAAACAGATGCTAGCCCAGCCTCAGGACTGATGGGGAAGGAGACCGTGGGAGGGTGAGACGGGAGGAGTGGAGGAAGGAGAGGGAGGAGTCAAAGGCTACTGGGATTTTAATCTGCAGGAGGACAGGAAGAATGGCTGAAACCAGTTTTTCAAAACCAGGGCTCAGCAATGTGCTCAACAACACACAGCAGCACATAGTTCAGGATGTGCTCAGTAAATGCAATCACTGCCTTCCCAGGAGCTGAGATCAGAATCTCAGAGTCGTCCTCAGATTCTCCCCATGCCACATGATCCTTCCATAAGCTGCGTGACCCTCCCTCCCAAAGATCCCCTCCCCAAGCCATGTTCCTCTCCCTATACTGCTCCCTGGTCCCCTACCTGGAAGGCTCTGTCCCTAGATCTTCCTGGGGCCATCTTCTGAAGCTCATGTCACCTCCTCCAAGAAGGCTTCCCTGGTCCCCAGTCCCCCCCATCGCTCTCTCAAATCGCCCCATTTTATGTGTTGATTCCTGTCTCAACAACACACCTCCCAGATCTCTTGTGGTTTCTTCATAGCTATTTCCCCAGCACCTGGAACTGTGCCAAGCATACAGTGTCTCCTCAATAAATTGTTGAGCTGCCCATATTGCCATTGCAGAAGGGCAGAGGCCCCCATGTACTGTATTCACAGATCTGTGACGTTCCCTGCCCAGAGATGCTTCTCCCAGGAGTCGTGCCCCAAGACTGGGTCAGACCAAAGACAGTCACTCTCCATGCCTAGAGAGCACCCCCCGGTAGATGAGCGCACTCTGGATAAGGCCCTCAGCCCCGGAACCAGTGAGGAGGAAGTCACCGCCCCGTGGGCAGACACTTCTCCACAACTTGAAGGTCTAGAGAGGGGGTGCAGGATACACACTGATGCAATTTCCTTAGCACCAACGGCTGTGGGAAACAGCGCAGGTTACTTCCTCCTCTCGGCTGACAGCAGGAACATCGGCAGGCTCAGAGGCCTGGCGCCTTTCCCGCCGCTGGAGCAGGCCAGCCGCTGCTGGCTACTTGGCCAGAGAGCCCTCACAAGAGAGACAGGGCTTTGAACCAAGTCCATCTGCGGCCTCCTTCAGCCCCACCCATTTCTCTAGCATGGAACTGCCCTGCCGCTCGCCCGGCTCCCCATCCTATACTCCACGGGCGCCCTTACAGCATCCTGACAATAGGATGCAAATACAGGCCATTTGACAGACCGGAAAACTGAGGCCAGGCCTAGTGCCAAAGCCAGGCCTAGAACCCAGGCCTTTGCCTGTTCATTCCGCTCTATTTCTGCTAGTCATTCACAACAGTTTCTAAAATTAATACGAAATGAGAAGTATGTGTGTGTCCATACATGGAAACGTTCCTGTGAAATGCGAAAGGAACGAGGCGCGGCCGGGCTCCTAGCTGTTGGTGTGTGGACCGCCCCACCCCTGTCCCTGGGCACTTCAAGGGTAGAAGCATTGCCTTAATGACCCCCGTAACCCTGGACACCTGGCTGAGACACCAGAACCGCGATACCTGGAACGACACCCAGCACTCAGCCCCAGAACTGCGCCCGAGTGTCAAAGATGCCAGCCCACGCGAGGACCCCGGCCCGCTGGACTCCGGGCGCCTCCCCTCCTCCGGCCGGCCGCGGGGAGCCCTGGCGGCCGGCGAGCCTCTGCCCTGCCTGGCGGTTCAGCCCCCTCCGAAAAGTTGCTGGGGCGCCCGCCGCGCCGACCCCCGCCTCTTGCGCGCGCCCACTCACTCGTGTTGGGCAGCCAGGTGGTTGAAGACGTAGGTGACTGGGATGGCCGAGAGGGACAGCACGAAGACCCCCGTGGCCGCCGAGGCACTCATCGCCGCTGCCGCGCCGCTAGCCCTTCACCGCATCCCGCGCGGGCGCCCCGCCCCAGCTTCCGGCTGCGCCCGCGCCCCTCGCGGGTGCCCTTCCAGACGCCCCGCTCCGCGCCGCGCCCGCCCCGCCCGCGCGCCCCCCGTGCCGCGCCCTCAGCAGCGCCCCCTCTGCGAGCCCGCCCGCAGCCGCCCGGTGCGCAGGGCCGCGGCGCAGTCCCGGGAGGCGCCCTGCCGTCCTCCCGCCCAGCGGCGCTGGGGCTCCACCGCGAGCGCGGGGCGGCGCCGAGGAGTGGCCAAAGCCCCCTGTCCGGGGACAGGTGTCCCCAGAGGCGCGCGCTCTGCGGGAAGGTGGCGACCCGGGAGGCGGGCTCAGGGCGCCGCCGGGAGCTAGTCATCGACGACCCAGAGAGGTTCTGGGCCGAGCTGTGGGCCAGCGTAGGGTGGAGCCACACCCGGGGGTGTCGGAGAGGGAAGAGCCCGCGAGATCGTCCACGTGGGGAACCCTCGGGCCAGGATAGGAAGGGATAAATGATCCCGAAACCTTGGAACCTCTCCACCGGCAGCCGGCAGCGAGTCCCGTTTGAACCCTGAGTCTGAATCCGGGTTTAAACCCCGGCTACGCACTCGCCGGCTGTTGACCTTGATCAAGTAACTTAACCTCTCTGTCTTTCCCCTTCTCTACCAAACGGAGGTCACCCGCGTCAATGTGATTGTGGGATTCACGGAGTTAATGGACACGAAGTGCTTGCCCAGTACTCCTCAGTCCACTGCTATCACCTGCAATTCCCAGTTTTTAATTGGAACTGAGACTCGGAGGAATACGATGATTGCAGAGACTAGAACGCCTATTTATTTCTATTCCAGGTCGCGTTCCTGGAAGCCAGCTTACCACCCGCCAGCATGCACAACTGGCTTCCCCACAGATGCCCACCATAGAGAATACCTTGTGCCTAGTCTGCCCTGGCTGCTTGACTGTGTTAGGGGGCAGCCTCAGAAAGCACCCCCTGGGACAGCCTGGATTCCTCTGCTACAGGGAAATGGAAGGTCAGTGTGATTCAGAGAATAGCTCAGGCAACCAAGGGAAGCACCTGTACTTAGTGACCTTATAACAACGGCAGCGTGTGGAAGAGGCTCATTTTAGAGAGGAGAGAAGAAAGTGGCAAAGAGGCTCAGAGCCAGGGCCACTCAACTTTTCAAAAGCCAGCTTTCCTTATCCCCTCATCCACTGCTTCTTGGAGGCCGTCTCAAACTCTGAGGTCATCGAGATAAAGCCTTGGCCCAAACTGTAACATATCCAGAGCCTCCCCAAGCAATGTCCTTACCTGTGACCTGGACATCACCGTCTTCCACACTGACTCCTTTACTAGCTGCTTAGCCTCTTTCCTCCTCCCCGACACCAAATATCTCCTCTGAGACCCCTTCTCTTCTCCCAACCAGTCTCCCAGGCCAGCCCATCCCCTCCATCACCACCCAAACCTTGCCGAATTAGTCTCGCCTTCTCTCTGATACCATGAACCCCTCTAGCTACCCTGGGTCCTCCCCCCTCAGTCTAGACACATGTTCATGTATGAGTCAGTTTAGAAAGTGCTCCCTCGGTGACACGCTACGACCTGGGACCCTCTGCTACTACAGTTCTTGCACCTGGGCACACCTCCAGAAACAAAATATAGGGAAACTGTATGCGATTAAAAATAACTGCGACCATGAGCAGTTGGAGCAAATTCTGGACCCGAAAGATACAAAGACGGAAAAGCCCAGCTGCCACTTTTGAAGAGGCTGGAACAAAAACAGGGTGTCAGGAGCAAAGTAGGATACTATGCATGCCCCTTTCACATACATCACCTAAGGGGTGGGCAAAACACCCAAGCCACCCCTCTGGCCCAAGCCATGGACACACTGCTACCATCATCCCATAGAAGAAACAAGCTCAGCCCCCACCTCAGGGATCAAGAAGGGGAGCCCGTTGTTTGTTTTCACTCCTCCTAGCTGCAGAGAGGTCCCAATGAATGTTTGGCCTCTTGTTGGTGTGTTGTTAGTCACTCAGTCATGTCTGACTCTTTGCAACCACGTGGACTATAGCATGTCAGGCTCCCCTGTCCATGGAATTCTCCAGGCAAGAATACTGGAGTGTTGGCCTCTAGTCAATTTCTATTGAATAGGCAAGGCGAAGAGCCCTGGTTGGTAAAACCTGGACCTGTGTGTCATCTTCATTTGCCATCTTCTCTCTTTCCTTTCCCATCCGTGCTGGGTTTTAATGACCATGTCTGTGCCAGTAGACCCCGAATGATCATTCCTAGCACTGACGTCTCCCCTCAGCACTGCCCTCTGGCCTTCCACAGGCACCTCCTGCTCAACATGGCCAAACTGGAATTCCCCGTCTGTCTCAAGTCCACTCCAGCCTTATCTCATCCAGTGGTGCCACCATTCACCTGGTCATCCAGAATCCTGGGACTCCACATCTGCTCTGGCCAATCCAAAATATCCATGCTTACCACAGCTCTCTTAATGTTACTTTCCAAATATCTCTCAAGTCTGTTTGCGCATCCCTATCCATGCCATTGCTGTCGCATTATAGGTCTCTGCCATCATCCAGGTTCCCGCCTCCTGCCTCGTCTCCCTCCTCTGTCCTCACCTGCTCTGAAAGACTGTGCTCCCACCCTCTTTGCTTTCTTCATAGTACTTTATTTATGCTATCCAAAACCATCTTGTTTACACATCTGCCTCCTGTTCTGTGTCCCTCTCTCCATTATGATGTAAGCACCCTGTGGTCAGGAACGTTATCTACTTTCTTTACTGTTCTGTACCCATCACTTGGACTAACAGCTGTCTTGAGCAGGTGCTCAAAAGATATTTGTTCACAGAATGAACATTCTGGAACACCATTTTCTGACAGAAATATAACACAAGCCACAAATGTGAACCTTATGTGTAGTTTTAAATTTTCTCGTAGCCACACTAGAAAAGTAAAAGACAGAGGTGAAATTAGTTCTAATAATATATTTTATCTAACATGATATGTGCAAAAGATTGTTGTTTAAATGGTCATCAATGTAAAAAATATCAATGGGAAATTGTACATTCATTTTTTATTTTTAGCAAGAACTTAAAAAAAATTATCTATTTATTTATTTATTTTTGGCTGTGCTGGATCTTTGGCTGCCTGTGGGCTCTCTCTAGTTACAGACACGGGCTTCTCATTGTAGTGGCTTCTCTTGTTGCAGAGCACAGGCTCTAGAGCTCGGGATCTGTAGTTGTGGTGCATAGGCTTAGTTGCCCTGCCACACGTGGGATCTTCTCAGACCAGAGATTGAACCGAACTTGTGCCCCCTGCATTGGCAGGGGGATTCTTAGCCACCGGACCACCACTACATTCTTTTTTTAATACTAAGTCTTTGAAATTGTGTATGTATTTTGTACTTAGAATATATCTCATTTCAGGCTAGTCACATTTCAAGTAGTCAACAGCCACATGTGGCCAGTGATTCTGTATTGAACTTCATAGTTCTAGACTTGTTCCTCCTATCAGATCAAGCTGACTTCAATTATGCTCTCTGTTTCTTTAAGAATAGATTGGAAAATTAAATCCCTAATGAACTTATTCAAGCATCCTCAGAGAGTCTACCATGTTTCCAGCATTATTATAAGAAATGGTCACACAAAGATGAATTATAAATACATCTTGCCCAAGAAGACCATAGTCTAGTGTGAGAAAAGCATGTAAACAAGTAGCATGCAAAAGATTCATGTACAAATTGCTGTAGGCATCACCAGTCTCTCTAGAGGAGTTAAGAAGAGCTTCAGGGAGGTGAGGCTTTAGACCAGCCTTGCTAAACAGATAGAAGCTGGCCAATCTGATGAGGGATAATGGGGTTTTCCAGGAAAGGGAAATAACCCACGTTAAAAGCAGAAATGTATGAGAGAGCATGTCACTCTATGAGCTTCACGCTGTTTGCTCTGGTGGGAAGTACTTGTGCATGTGGGGGGGCTGGTAGGAAGTGAAGATGGAGAGGTGATCAATGGCTCAGTCTTAAAAAACCTTAAGGTCAGGGAGCATGTAAGATTTATAACTAGGTCCTGAATGCGGCAACTAAAGATCCCCAAAATGTGCAGCTCAGACCCAGCCCAGATATATGGCAGAAACCAATGAAATATTATAAAGCAATTATCCTCCAATTAAAAATAAAGTAAAAAAAATTAAAGACCCAGCACAGCCAAATAAATAAATATTTAAAAAAAATTTATTAGGAGGAGAGGATGACTTCATCAGAGTAACTTTTACTTTTTTTTTTTAACCTGGGGCCAAGATAGTGAAAGTGCAGAGTCCTAACCACTGGACATCCTGGAAATCCCCCAGAGTAACATCTTTAAAGCTCTGACTGGCAGCTGATGTGGAATAGGGTTTAGAAAGAGGAGAAGTAGGAGGTAGGAAGTCCACTTAAGAGGCTTATTCTAGCATGAGATGCTGAAGATCTGAACCAAAGTGTTGGCAACGAGAGGGAAAAACGAAGAATAGCACCTGCTCGCTGCAGCTAGAGAAAGCCAGAGAGCAGCAACAAAGACCCAGTGCAGACAAAAGTAAATAAATAAAAATTTTAAAATTAAGCAAATGTTTCAAAATTAAGCAAATATCATACAAATAAATAAAATATTGTTTTCATGCAGATGTCTTTTTAAACAACTTGTTTATTTCTTCATTTAAAAATTTTTGGCTGCACCCTGTGGCATGTGGGATCTTGGTTCCCAGACCAAGGATGGGGCCCACACTCTCTGCATCACTTCAGTTCACTCACTAAGTCGTGTCCAACTCTTTGCGACCCCATAAACCGCAGCACACCAAGCCTCCCTGTCCATCACCAACTCCCGGCGTCCACCCAAACCCATGTCCATTGAGTCGGTAATGCCATCTAACCATCTTATCCTCTGTCGCCCCCTTCTCCTCCTGCCCTCAATCTTTCCCAGCATCAGGGTCTTTTCCAATGAGTCAGCTTCAGCTCTTCACATCA